ACCACCCGAAATGTGGCGCGTGCCACACCCGGCCACAGCTTTAATTGAAACTGACTGCAAAAGCACTCGAATTATAATCCACATAACGCCCATAAAAACTCAATCAAGTGGCGATCAAACAAAACCGAGCTGCGCCACCTTTGTGCACCACAGAGCGAGCCAAGTGGCAAGCAAATCAAATATATGACTGGCCACGTGACCGCCCAACGCCCCGCAGGCGACTCCCGTTGCTGCTGCTGCTACTGCTGCTGCTGCCACAGCGCAGCACGAGGCAAGTGCGTCTGCCACGCGACTCCTGCCAACGGCCAGGAGCTTCAGCGCACTTGAAAAATTTCAATCAGGTGCAAATGCGGCGCAGGAGGCGGCGGCACTGGGGCTTTTCAATTTTTGTATGCATTTGATAATTGAACGCGTGCCAATTAGGAGATGCGAGCAACACACACACATGCGCACACACACACACACACACACACACACACGCGTGGACACACTTGTCCAAGCAGGCTTTAGAGGTCGAGCGAGACTTTCGCCAGGCAGCAAGTGCAATATGTGTCAGCCAGTCAACATCCACCACCAAGACAACAACAACAACAACAGCAGCAACAACAACAACAACAACAGGAACAACAGCAACATGAAACGGGCTGTGGCCTAAATTGCAAGCAGCTGCCACTCGAACCGTGGGATATTTTTCCCCTAACCAAACCGAGGGCCATCGAACCTTATCCATGGGAACCACAACTGCTCGACGCTCTCAATATTTATTTTGTGCGTTCGTTATATTGAATAAGGAAAGAAAAAAAAAAACAGCACAGAGAGACAACAAAAATGAAGGGAAAGGATGCCTCGACAATGAGGGGTGCGGACGGCTGACAAGATTATCCTGCACGTGTTGAGCTTGCTCTCCACTTCGCCTGCGCTGAAAGCGTGGCAGGCGAGTGTTGGGCGGCTGCTGCTGCCACAGTTGCCGCAGTTAACTTGCAACATCGGACAGCCGCGTGCTGGGCACATGTGTTGCGCATGTGGCACTTGTTCGCTGGGTGGTGGTGGTGTTGGTGGTGGTGTTGATGGTTTGCTCGATTTTTGGGCGGGATGCTGGGCTATAAAAGCGCGACACTTGTTCAGCCAGCAGCACAGTTCAAATTTGCAACGCGACACGCAAACAACAATCTAAGCACGAGTATGTCGAAGGTTAAGAATCTAATTGCCAAAATGCTGCAGCGCCGCGGCAAGTGCAACGGCAGCAGCAGCGTCAGCGGCCACAACAACAACAGCAACAACTTCAGAGATTGCCAGCACTACGAGAGTCTCGAGGAAATTGCGCAGAATCAGGCCAACGAACGCATGCTGCAGGAGACATCAAATGCCGCACATCAATTGCTCTTCTGCCTGGAAACCGCAGACGGCTGCTTTTATTGGCATGCACAGTAGCAACAGCAACAACGACAGCAGCAACAACAACAAACCGGTAGTTAGAAGCGGTCAAATGTATGAATGAAACGACTTTGTCAATGAAGCCATCCAGCCAGTCAGTCAGTTCGATTCATGCACTCAGCATGCGCAACAAGTTGCATGCAACGCATGAGCGACTGATAAACTAGTTGCCATTGCAATCAGACAGGCAGCCAGGCAACCAGGCAGCAATGTCAACGATGTCACCCAGGCCAAGGTGTGAATCCAAACTCTTAATTTACGCCATATGCCAATTTTAAATAACTTGTGATATATACGTATATACCTATATAGCTAAGTACTCAGTGTCGGATCGGAGTTTAGTATAAATGTTTCTAGAGTGTAAGCTATTAATAAATGACTTGCAAAGTAAACCTGAAAATGTTATTTGAGTTTTATTATATATTCGTCAATAATTCAATATTATTGTGTGTTATCAAATTGACTTCAAACCAATTTATTGCGCATGAACAACACAACTGACAACACACATAACAACTAAATTGAGTTGTGTTTGCGGTCAAAACAACTCAATTTTTTTAAGGCGTGCTTCCTTAAGCACTTAAGGGCTCCAACTAAATACAAATTCTGATATGAATACACAGTAATCATATATGTTTATCAATACATATTTAAATTCGTAGACACGTAAAGGCAAGTAAATTGAGAAATAATAATAGCATTATTAAGTTCACAAAATTATTATAAATTAAGATATTCAATATATTGAATATAGTGCATATATGTATATTTATTTGGGTATATTCATATTCCATTTAAGTTCTGTCAATATTAAATTCTATAAACATTTATCATCCAAAGTTAAAGCCTGAGCTGAATTAAAAATTAAAGTTTAACTATTTTATTTTGTTTGATTATTTATTTGTTTATTTTTATTATCTTTTTTGACATATATTTTTTGTTTTTTGTAAATATTTAAAAAATTTAATTTAATCCTATTTTAATTGATTATTTTTTAGTGTTTCTAATAATAATATATACTACATTTTATCATAGCAACATTCTCACATTATTATTATTATTTTTGCTTTAATTTTAATTTTTTTTTTAAGTAATGTCCAAGTTTAATTTCTATAGTTTTCATAAAAGTCAAATAATGATCCTATTAATGCTTTTAAGTGCTGTATAAATCCAATATTAAATCTGAGCTATAGAATATATTTGAATTAATGTTAATCCACATACAATTCCTCTGTACAATCTAAAATAATCCATATGTTTCCAATTTGAATTTAGTTAAGGTCGCACCCAAGTTCCATCCACATTCGTTTAGCAACCCTTTTGACGCCTGCGCGCCCGCGTTTCGCAAGCATCTAGCCTGACATTTTACGTGTGTCTGTCGCGCGTTATTACGTGGTCCAAGCATGCGCACATATTCAATTACACAGCCAGCAACAACAACAACAACAACAACAAGAGCAACAGCAATAGCAGCAGCAATAATAACAACAACATGAATAGCCACAACGATGACAAGAGCGTTGCATTGACAATAAGCCGAGCAACCCCCAAGACCGTTGCGTGCCTAAATGTGCCCCTGTTAAGAGTCGTCGATCCGTCGATCCGTTCGCCATGTGCAGTTGAAAAAATGTTCTCACACTCTCGAAAAGATTGTAACGGCTTGCTGTTCAGCACACTCTCAGCACGGCATCGGCATCAGCATCGGCATCATCATCATGCTCTGCCATCTCATCCCCCTGCGCATGCAATGCGATTGCCTCCCTCTCCCTCTCCCTCTCGCTCTCGCTCTCGCCGATGATCGGCTGCTCGCACTTCCTGCCCGTGGCCAAACTGGCCACGTATATTGTTTATATAGTTAACGAATGCGATACATTTAATCTTTAGTGTGTGTCAATTTGCCGTACAGTCATTTAGTTTGCATGCCCCGCATCGTCCCTACAGCGTCCCTACCCTACTCGTTACCCGATTCCTGGCTGCCCGGTCCCACGACGTGCCCAGGCATGCCACTTAGCGTGGCCCAAGTGTTCAACAGAAGCTACAATTCAGCATTCATAATTGACAACAAGAACAACAACAGCTACAGCAATAGCAACAGCAACAACAAGAACAACAGAGATAGCAACAACAGCAGAGAGGAACCTCTGGGCCACGTCTGGCAAGAGAAACAAAAAAAAAATAAAAGGCAGGTGGTAGTTTTTTCGGTGGTACTGTCCACACCACTCGCCATGACTCGGTCTTGGGCACGGTCAGATTTACAGTGGGGCAAAAGCAGAGACAATGCTGCCAAATTTTGATTTATATAAGACTTTCAGCTAACATTGATAAACAATTAAAATAATATTTTATAATATATGTAAATTGTTAATCTAGATAAATGTATTCTTGAAACATAAATAAGTCCAGAATTAAAATATAAGTAAATATAAAAAAAGATTTAATAGGTTTTGTTTTTCATACTTCCCACGCTCATCTACCAAACCTTTCAAATAACTTAGAAGATCTATCTATTCACACCTACTAAGTGCGAAAAACCCTGGGCGGTGTCCATTTGAAATTTAACCTTGTAGCTTCACTTTACCACTCGTAGTATTTCCAAAAATTCTTTGTTACTGTCAGCACCGAATTACCAGAGACTAACCGTATCAAGTACAGAACATGCCACGTTTATTCCACAACAGTTCTTTTAGTTTTCTACCTTGCAATACCGAAAACTTACAAGACTTCATTCCCACGCACAGTCAGTACCACCCGAAAACCCTGAAACTAGCCATATCAAGTAAGGGACATGCCACGTAAAATCCACAACAGATTTTCAGCAAAGCTGCAGAATTTTACACAGCAAGTAGAAGAAACACGTAGTGGAAAGTCCAAGGAGCTCATTCAATTCAGTTTTGTACAAAATTTCCGCATGTGTTTCGCCCACTGTGCAATGTGCATAAGGGCTCAAATCGAAGACTCTATACCTAGCTCCCTCTCTCTCTCTCTCTCTCTATCTCTCTGGCTCTCACTCGCTCACCCTACACGGCCGACCGATTATAACTTATAACACCAACGAGCGAGAAAAATCTTGTGGGAAACTTGAGGGCAAAGTGTTTCCCACGATTCGAACGTCAATGTAAAAGAAAACAGAGAAGAGCTAAAAGCGGCAACAACAACAACATGCTGAACATGTGCAACAACCACCACCAGCAGCAGCACCACCAGTACCACCATCGACCACCGACACCACCAACACACAGACAGACGCACCATCAGTTTCATCCCCTGCCAACACACAACAAACTTGTTTGCCGAGCCAACAAGAGAAAAACCAACCACCACCAGCCGAGGATCGCTGCAAGGCGCAGACGCAGACGCTGACGCTGACGCAAACGCGCCGAGAGCCGATAACCGAAATGCAGACACGAACCGAAGCGAGCCGAACGACTGAGTAATTTGCTCGTCAGGTGGTGCCGTTGTTGTTGTTTCTACTCTCTGCTGTTGGCTCTCTTTGTGCGTGCGCTGAGCACGAGACGCAGTCGACGTCGACGCCGGCACGTGCAGCTATAAAAGCAGCGGTAACTGGAGATGGCAGCAGCATTCTCAACGCAATCGTCGTGCAGTACACATCGTACAGCTCAACTTACATTCAAACAGACATCGCCAAACAACGCAACATGGCCACCAAATACGAACAATCAAAGACTTATCAGTACCGCAAGGTGATGAAGCCCCTGCTGGAACGCAAGCGTCGCGCACGCATCAACAAGTGCCTGGATGACCTCAAGGATCTGATGGCCGAGTGTGTGGCCCAGACGGGCGATGCCAAATTCGAGAAGGCCGACATCTTGGAGGTCACCGTAGATTATCTGCGCAAACTGAAGCAGTCCAAGGCCGCCAATTCCAATGCCAAGGCCGCTGCATCCGCCACTGAGCACAGTTTCCGTGCCGGCTACATTCGTGCCGCCAATGAAGTTTCCCGCGCACTGGCAGCACTTCCCAAAGTTGATGTCGCCTTTGGCACCACGCTGATGACCCACCTGGGCATGCGCTTGAATCAGCTGGAGCAGCCCATGGAGCAGACAGCGCCAATGTCAATGAACACGCCACTCAGCATCAACTGCGACTCCGTCTACTCCAGCAAGAGCAGCAGCAGCAGCAGCAGCAGCAGCTCCAGCAGCCACCGCGACACCTACAGTCCCGTCTCCAGCGGCTATGCCAGCGACAGTGATTGTGGCTCAACCACGCCCATCGCCGCCCAATCTCTACTGCAAATCAGCAACAACGGTACCAGCGTCTGGCGTCCCTGGTAAAGGAGTCGTCATTAGCTCCGCAGTCATCGGGACACGCACGCAATCGCACTGTCGCTTTACAAAGCTTTACAATGATCTTCATTTTGCCTCTAATTAAGTGTTACGCAGTTTTCTAAGTTAGGTCTGTGATAGGGCACGTTTTATTGACTCCATTATAACAATTAGCCAGAAGTCTGTTAGCCAATACAAATGTTTATAGAGTTTAAGCAAAAAACAAATCAAAAAACAAAAACAAAACAAGAAAAAAAAAAAAAACAAAACAAAATTATATGAAAACATAAATATAAACAAGAAATATGAAAAGAAAAATACTTGCATCTTTTATTTTGAAAATGGTTCCTATTTATTTATTACAGCCTCTTCAACTCTAATCAGAACCATCTGTTGGAATTTAATTACTCTAACTCAGGTGTAGGAAACCAACGGCTAATTGGAGACTCGTTAAATAATAATTATAATTCAATTATATATAACATTTTTTAAATATATAACGATTTGCTATCAATATGAAATATAATTATATTATGTTTGAAAGCAATTATAAATGTTCATTAATACTGAATTTGACTATGTGTTTTTTCTTGGCTCAACTCTTAAATTTTATGTTTGCATTCAAATATAGAAAAAAATAGCTGCGAAATATATGAACCTGCGTTCTTACAAATTTTGCAACTTGAATTATATCGCTAATTAAAATAATATATTTCTATAGCAGCCCTAAACACAGTTATTTATTTGGACATTTTTTAATCTATTATCAGCACATATAAAGAAATAGAAAATATAACAAATTATGAATAAATTTATATTTTAACAAATTATATTTTATTTATTTAATTTAATTTTTTTTCTTTTTTTTTTTTTGTATTATTATTCAATTAAAATTTGTGAGTTAAATATGTATGTATATACACATACATATGTATGTAGATTTCTTCAGGTCTAGGCCACGCCTTCTTCTGATTGCTCGATACTTATTAACGAATCGATAATAACCTGAACTCCCACTCTCAATGGCTGGAATAATATGTATAGTATATCTTTATTATATTTAAAATAACTTTAAGCTAATATGAATATAAAATACGCATATCATTTAACGTGGTTTCCATTATAAGAAATATAAAATAACCAATTTATATAATCAGCTGCTATCCTCTAAAATTCTTATATTTGATACAACCAAACTTATTAGAAAATTAATTTTAAAATGTATAATCTAACACTCTCTTCAATAAGGTCAATCCTTTGTGATATATAATTATGACTCAGTTAAATAGGCAAAATTGACAAATATAAATTCCAATTAGCACTGCTCGTGCTATAAAAGTGACTACTTATACCTCATTTAGGTAATACAAACATCTATTGATTGTTAATCAAATATGTTAAATGGCATCAGGCTCGTAACTCAATTTCCAATTAGGTATGAATGTGTCTGCTAGGCGTGAAACACAATCAATTATTGCTGATAATTCTTAGCTGAGCACTAAAGGTTAGAGGTCGAGGGGAGGATTGTAAGTAAGCCCTCCGATAACCCAGTCCACCCAGCGATCACCTTTGCCCGGTGCGCGGTCCACGCGCTGCCACACTTTCAGCGGCCGCCTGGCCTGGCAGGCCAAAGCCAATGCCAAAGCCAAAGCCAAACCAAGCCAATATGCCACACTAATTGTGCCCAATAAACACTCATCGGGCAATGGGAACGTGGAAAACAGGGATCGAGGCAGAGACCGCATTATGCCATCATCATCTGCATACATTGATGAAACAATAAGCGAGAGATGGCACGGCAGGATAACAATGAGAACGGGAACGACCCACGCACACGCACAGGATGAGGCAGTGAAGTATGCATTAAGGATAATAACACCGGTCTAAAGAGCAACTACAGCAGCAGCAACTGCAGCAGCAACAACAACAGCAGCAGCAGCAGCAACAACAACAGCGAGAGCGATGCCCAAAACAGCGACAGCTGCAAAATTTGTGCTCTGATCCTTTAAAAAAGCGAAGCATGTGGCCAAAAGGAAAACAAACGAGAGAAAAAAAAATTGTGTGAGAAACTTACTTTCAGGTCGGTTCCCACGCCACGAGCCACAAGGATTGCCGATTGTCCTCCATGCCAGCCGCTCAATTGCAGCTGTTCCACACAGTTCCAACGCCTGCGTGCCAGAGAGGGAGAGTAGCGTAGCCAGGGCATGCGCGTGCGTGCGAGCGAGACGGGGTGCGCTCATGCGTAGCCGTGGCCGAGGGTGGATTCTGAACTTGGGCCCTGAGCGGACTATAAAAGCAGGGTACTGCCAACCGAAAGCCATCATTCACGATACAGCCAGCAACAAGGCAACCACGAGCATTTTGTACACTGCAAAACGCAACTGAAATTAACAAAACATACACGTAAAAATGGAATACACAAGCAAGACACAGATCTACCAGAAGGTGAAGAAGCCGCTGCTGGAGCGTCAGCGTCGGGCGCGCATCAACAAGTGCCTGGACACGCTAAAGACACTTGTCGCCGAGCTACGCGGCGATGATGGCATTCTGCGCATGGACAAGGCCGAGATGCTCGAGTCAGCTGTCGTCTTCATGCGCCAACAGAAGTCAAGCAAATCAACAGAAGCAACTGCAGCAACACCAAGCATGCCACTGGAGAGCTTCCGCAATGGTTATATGAATGCCGTCAATGAGGTGTCACGTGTCATGGCATCCACACCTGGCATGAGTGTCGACCTGGGCAAATCGGTGATGTCGCATCTGGGCCGCGTCTACAAGAATCTCCAGCAGTTCCATGAGGCACAAACAACAATGTACGCATCAGAGGCAGCCACCGAGTTGAGCATCAACTGCAACTCGGCGCCTCTTAGCCCCGCCTCATCCGGATATCACAGTGATTGCGAGAGTCCTGCGCCATCGCCAATGCCAGAGGAGGCCGAGAAACTGTGGCGCCCCTGGTAAATCATCAGGCAATGAGCAGTAGACAACAAGAGGGAAAACAAAAGAAAACGCAACTGTGATAACCAACTGTGATGGGAACAAAACAATTAGTAAAACAATTAAATAAATGCAATTAAGAAACATAAAATTATTTGGCTTATGAATCATATGGGTTGGGCAAGCATGGGTGACTTTCACTTTTAGGATTGGGCACTGGAAGAGTAAGCAAACAAATACAACAATTGATTATCGAAATTCTGTTTCCCTTGAGATGTTTGCTATAATAATTGAACCGTCGGAATTTAGATAATACACAGTTAATTGATTTACATTAATCGTAGGAGTTCTAACGTTAAATTGATTATAATTTTCAATTACATTTTTTTAAATTTAAATCTAAAACTAATTTATTATTTGTTAACGTTATATGAAAACAAGTTTTTGTATATTTTTCTTTTTTTTTTCGTTTTTAGTTACATTATAGTGTATATTTATAATTAGTTCGTATGACAAATAACATTGCATTGATTTTGAAATTTCGATTACGCGCTAGATTGTGGTAATATTTGCAAGTACATAACAATGTTGTATAGACGATAAATAAAAATCTTCGATAACGTTCAACAGCCACTCAAATCGATAAATCAAAGAGTGTCGATATAATATGGAGGCTCGGCGATACCTCTAAATAATAAAGTGATGAGACATATCTGGCGATATATCGTCGGCTTTTTATTTTTTCCACGCATTAAAATCACGTTCGCAATTTAAAAACAAATCGGCATTAGAGTTGATTAGCTTTCACATGTAATTGTGCGTTTCGGGCGGTGCAAAACGTCGTTGAATATAAGTTAAATACAGCCGAAAATCTAAGTGCAAAATAGACGGCTAAAGCAGATGCGAAAAAAATAGAGACGAGAACGAGAACGCCACACAACACATACACGACGCTCAGGCTGACTGTCAGACGTAGCGAGTCGGTCGGTCGGTCGGTTGAAGAGGCCAGTTTTTACGGGTAGAATTCGAGTAAAAAATTACGTTTTTTGCATTGAAAAAATCGGCTCGTGCAAATATCAGTGGAGTGTATGTGTACGCACACAAAGTGGCAATAAAATGTGCAATTGTACGGCAAGCTAAATGCCCAAATGAAAATTGGTACTGCCAACTACTCCGTTTTTTAATTGCTTTTGTTTATTTTTTGTTGGGCCAATTTTTCTTTTGCGCTGCGCTCGTGTGTGCGCCTGTGTTTGTGTGTGAGTTTTGTCACTCGTCCGTTTAGGGTGCGCGCGCGTGTATAAGTCTGTCTGTCTGTTTGTGTATATGTGTGAGTGAGCAACTCGCTGTCATAGTAGTGTTGCCAAGAAATTTCATTTTCTTTTGGGATTATACATTGTTTATAATAAAAAAAATTTGTTTCACTGTTGAGCTGCCACAAAACGTGTAATAATAAAAGCTATTATAATAAAAATGCGTCAAATTTGCGATGTATTGATCAGTGGCAATATTTGGTGTTCGGTTAAAGGTGGCAACCCTGCGTAATTGCAGTCTATGTGTATATGTATTGCACGGGGTACATTTGTTTGTGCAGAGCGTGCGGCCAGCGTGCATTGCTTTTGCAAAAATTACATGCCACAGTAATGTGGAAATAGTTTAACGAGAATATCTTATGCTGGCTAAGAAGTGTACGATCATATTATACCTTATGCCGCATGCTTGTTTTTGCGTAACATTTCGCCCAGGCACATGCAACTGTGCGTTTGATTTTTTCGGCGGTAAACACTCACACTCATACCCTCGTATGTGCGTCGTCCTCTGTATGTATGTGTGTACACTCGTTGTTGCTGGCATGGCTGCCATTGCTGAGATGCTCAAGAATATGTGAGCGCGCTTATGTTTGTGTGTGTGTATGTGTGTGCGTGCGTGAGATTCTACGTATTGAAAAAAATGGTGCAAAATAACGACCAATAACTATGAAATGTAAAATTCCCATTGCAGGATACCCGCAAAATGTTAGACAATATGGAAACGCATGAGTTGAACTAAATCTAAACTCACAACAAAAGCAATTAAACGCTTGCAAAATTTTATACATGTTCCGGTGCTAGTGCTGCTAATTTCGGCAGAGGAGAGTTAAATCTCAGGGTGCCAGCAGCGGGCAGCGGCGCGCTGCCAACAGGAAGAGGAAGCATAAGCAGTTCGGTCAACTAAAATATATATAAATATATAACAAACAAAAAATAGTAACAATAAAAATTACGATACAACAAATTACAACTATTTGTTGTTCATCCCATTGCTTCTTGGGCAACAATCAAACAGGCATTACAAGAACAACAGAAACACAACGACAATGTATCCCGCACCGGTGCGTCACCCCGCCGCTGGGGTAAGTATTAAAGATTGCAATGGGACCCAATCAAGTGTTATACTAATTGTGTTTCGCCCCCATGTCCATCTTCAATACGAACAGGGACCACCACCTCAGGGCCCAATCAAATTTACCATTGCCGATACATTGGAGCGCATCAAGGAGGAGTTCAATTTTCTACAGGCACAATATCACAGGCAAGTGTCTACGACATACAATTTCGCAATGGGAGCCCCCAGCAGAGCCGCGCGACAGATTAGTTAATGCGATTTCGAAACTATATACATATGTATAATTTAATACATTCATATAATTTATTTCGTAATTTTTATTATGGCATCGAATATCGCATCGTTCCAGAATTATGGCCTCAGTAATAATATAATAACATATTTATGATATTATGGAAAATAGAAACAACAAAAATATCTAACAAAGCAATGGGTCTAATGGTGTCATAAAAACGTCCTTACGTGCTTTTTGGATACATATGTTTTGTATTGATATATGAAAGTGTTTCTCGAAACATGTTCGGGTAAAAAACTTGGTTTTTTTCATAGAACATTCTCCATTATAGTCGTTTAAAGAATGTCCGATTTCAGATTCACAAAAATATAAAAAGAAAAAGAATGTTGATTGCTGTAGGTTTTTCATGCGCACATGCTCTGCTGGGCTGGTCTACTGCTGCCTTTCAGCCTCGTATGTCTTTGGCTGTGTAAACCGGTTTGCCAGGCCGCGCGCCATATGCGCTGCTGGTCATAGGATTTTTAGCCGGCACGACGACGGAAGCGTTGCCCGAGATTTCTTTCAACTAAACTAATTTGCCCTTTTGATTATTTTTCCTGTGAATTTCAGCATCAAATTGGAGTGCGAGAAGCTGGCGAACGAAAAGACCGAAATGCAGCGCCATTATGTTATGGTAAAGACATATATATATATACATATATAAATATATAATTGATGAACTTTCGATTTCATTATGTTTAATCTAATCCTTTTCTGTTTTACATTTTCTAACGCAGTACTATGAAATGTCCTATGGCCTTAATGTGGAAATGCACAAGCAAACGGAAATCGCGAAGCGTCTCAACACACTAATCAACCAGCTACTTCCATTCCTACAGGCCGATCATCAGCAACAAGTGCTGCAGGCGGTAGAGCGTGCGAAGCAAGTCACAATGCAGGAACTGAATCTGATCATTGGGGTAAGTTGGTAAAATTTGTTATATACAGTAGCCAGTTCCCAAAATACTATAAAATACAGAAAAACTTGAATAGCTTAATATTTTATACAAAAACTTTAAAAAATTTCATATTGAGCATAGAAAAAATTAAAAACATGTGAATGCCCACAAATTGGTTTGATAAAACAAAAATGTGAATGCTATAATGAACAACTGAAATTCAAATACCTTAAATATAAGAAATAATTTAGTATTGCTCCATCTTAAACTGACCAAATGTTTTTAATATTTTCATTGCCTCAGCCTTTTTAGCACTGTTTTTTTTGTAAGACTGGCTTAGCATTAAAAAATAGTTCTATAATTTACCAAGCTGCATGACCAACTAGTTTAATTTATGTTTATACTATAATAATTATATGCGAACTGTAAATACTATTATTTTATTAAACGATGGGTTTGTGCGTGCGGTATGCGTGTGTCTGCAGCAGCATCAGCAGCAACATGGAATACAACAACTTTTAGTAAGTGATTATAATTTTGTTTGTTTGCCATTTGCGTTCGTTCGTTTGTTTGTTTGCTTGTTGCGTTGTTTCTCGCTCGCCTCTCCACAAGTTGTTCATTCTGTTGAATTCTTTTTTTTTTTTTTTATTCAATGCGTCAAGTCAAAATCGCCGCCGCTTGTTCTACTTGTCGATGTTGTTGGTGTTGTATGCACACACACACACGCACAGCTACATCCACTAGCCTTTGTTACACGTCCCAAAGCCAAATAACAGAAACAATTGAAGCGCCTGCACTTCAACAATCACAATTTGATCATCAAACTAACGGCCAGCGGCTTTTCCATTGCAGCAACAAATACACGCACAACAGGTGCCAGGCGGACCGCCACAGCCGATGAGTGCACTTAATCCGTTTGCATTGGGTGCCACGATGGGCTTGCCACACGGGCCACAGGGCTTGCTCAAAGCGCCGCCGGACCATCAGAGGCCGGATATAAAACCCATGGGCTTGGAGGGACCAGCGGGCGCTGAAGAGCGCCTGGTAAGTGGCAGCATTCGAAGCATAGATTGTTTCAAATACTTATCCAACTATTTATTATGTTGCAGCGCAACTCGGTTTCGCCAGCGGATCGTGAGAAATACCGTACGCGCTCGCCGCTGGACATTGAGAACGACTCGAAACGTCGGAAAGATGAGAAACTGCAAGTGAGTATCAAGCTAAGATGAGCGTATATATCATTTAGTATGCTCGTATCATTGTGTCATCAGCTGTTGCTGCCTCTCAACTCACCAAAAAAGAAAACAAAAACATATTCCTTTAATATATAGTAGCCTATCTCATATGTAGTTGTTGTTGTTGTCTATTTCTAATCCTCTGTTAATTCATGCGCTTCACAAAACCGAAATTAAAACTATAAAATCACATACTTGTAGAGTAGTGCAATTAACAGATGAATTGCTATTTGGGTTGTTGATGTTATCGTGTACGAATTTTGTTTTATTGTGTTTGTTTGTTTTTTTCAAAATTATTTGCAGGACGATGAAGGCGAGAAAAGCGATCAAGATTTAGTCGTAGATGTTGCAAATGAAATGG